AGCAAAAACGGGACGGAAAACATGAAATTTTGGCATAATCTTGCACCTAAGTGTCTGATATTCAAATTTCGCTTTCTGGGTCAAAACTGCTCGAAGTTCCTCACTCACGTTGTTACGACTGAATCGATTTTTCAATTGTCTATCCAACGATGCCAAAACAAATTCTGTGGCTCGAATGGTTCTTGAGAAACTTCGAAAAAAGCAGCGCCATGTTCAAGTGAATTGTGCAACTCAAAAAAAACCACGCAAATCTAAAACTTCTTGAATTCAAGAATTTTTTGAGAAAACTGCCAACATTTCCCCATCTATGGTTCACTTTCTAAAAAGGTCATTTATTTCTGTCTAGAATGATGTACAAATTAACGTTCTTGCTCATTTTGCCTCCTAGATGTGAGCAAAAATGGGACGGAAAACATGAAATTTTGCAATAATCTTACGCCACCCTTGCACAAAACGATGATACTTTTACAAATTTCATAGGCAACAGAAGGCTGCATTTTTTCTACATAACCCCCCCCCCTGAATTTAAAGCCGGATCCGCCCCTGTGCCAGGAATGCTAAAAGATCCTTAAAAACACACTACACGGTTCAGATCGGAAATAATCAACATTTTCTTTTCATTTTGAGTCGTTTTTGAGCGGTCACGATCTTAAACCGATTATTTTTTCCCAATTATGGACTCAAAAACTTAGCTCGCAAACAACCCAATGAGCGCAACAAGCACGGTTCAAGCAACAATTTTTCATCGAAATCGCAGGATTTTTCGAAATTTTAGTTTTTAAAAGTTTTGATCTTTACCCAACCATAGCTTATTCAGCATGCAAACACCCTCTATGTGCACACTGCTTTCTTCTTAGCTTGACAGCAATCAGTCCAAATTAGGGCGAAGAGCTAAAATAAATCAGGAAATTCTAAGCGAACACTTACCTAATCCTGCTGTCATCCCCTCGAGATCCTTCGGCTTTCTCTTCCTCGGCCGGCCTTTTTGTCTTGGCGGGGCTCCAGTTTGCCCGTTATAAAAGGGCGGTTTGCCCACTGGAGGCTCGACTGGGGGCGGCGGAACTTGGGGCGGCAATGACGGGTGGAACTCAGGGCTGGGAAACGGCGGCATATACACTGAAACACAATAAAATGAAGATAATTATGTTTTTTTCATTGGCAAACGTTCTCAGTTAAACATCAAGAACCTGAACCAGAAACCCACTAATTGGAAAGAAATTATTTACTTACTATCGGCTTTGCCAGGAAAACCGTGCATGGAAAACATTCCGGTTGGGGGCATATCGGGGGGGATTTCAAAGTGAAGTCTGCACAGCACTGAGCTGTCCCTCATTCCGAAATGGTCGCCTTTAATCAGAGGAGAATTGCAGACTTCGCAGGAGAAACAGTGAACATGGAAAACTAGATCTCTGGCTCGCATCACCAGCTCCGAACTGAGGATGGTGGCTTGGCAGCGGGCGCAATGTTTCATTCCAAATAATCTGCAATCAATTCCCATTGAAAGTAAAAAACTGCAAATAACAAAGGAAAAAAGAAAGGAAATTAGACAAACAGCTTGTTGGGCTAAAAATAGTGCCACTAATGATTAGCAAAGCGGTGAGTGACTTGTGGGCTACACTTCGGCAACAAATGTGATCTTTCACCGCTAATGAAATAGAAAACTGATACGGTAGACGAATCTGGAACGCCGACAAAGCAGCGACGAGTTTTAGTAAAAAGTAACCGAAAAAAAAGTGGTGTTATTTCAGTAATCTGCCCCGCACTGAACATTTAGGGGTTTGAAACACGTATTAAGCGACAGAGTGTTTTATCGATACAACTAACAAACAACCAGCTAGTAAATGAGCATTTAGTGCCAGATAATAATTAACAATTAACGTCGTTCGGCAAAGTCAAGCAGAGCGATCCATTGCGGATGCAAAAAATGTAAACGCCTTTGAACGTTGTTAACGTTTGCGAAATTTTTGCGTGTCGAATGGTATTGATGCAAGCGATCGAGTTTACCACCTATTGCTAATTTCTTCTACAAGCGCAATTACCGCAAGTCTAATGGGTCTCAATTGGTATTTCCTAGGCGCCGCGATCGCATAAAAACTGGCCACCACATTAACTTGAATAATTGTTATTTACCGACCATCGCTCGTATTCTACTTGCGAACGTGCGAAAAACTCTTAATAGCATTTTGGAGCGATTTTCTCGGAATTAATTCTGTATTTGTTAGGCAAAGGATTAGCCGAAGGAAAAAACGATCGAGCGAAGCTGCAGAAAACAACGCCAGCTACAAATGGCCGCATCGGTTTTGCAAATTTCAATCAGAAAAACCTTGTAGATTAACATTAATGTAAAGCTTCATTTAATTCATCCCCTGCAAAGTATGCGTGGTTATTTACGAACACTCAATATCCGGCAAATTATACAAATATTTTAATTTTAAGACAGTCAATTTATACTGAGTGAAAGCTAATTAAGCTGCTGATGATTCGATATGGATTTATTACACATTTATCGATTAGTAGATTAAATCTAAAGTAAGAAAAACCAGTTGCTTGGAATCGATTTACGTGGTGCAAAAGTGGATTATGATAAATTTAGCTGCAAAATAATTAAATTATAATTATAAAGCAAATATTGGAGCCTCTCAAGGTAATGGATCTGATACGGTGGTCTGGATAAAAATTAGAAAAATGCCGGAAGTTTTCGAAAGTGTGAATTTTCTATGAAAAATAGGGTACCAACTGTCTTTAGATGATAATGTACCTAATAATCCCGATTGTTGTCAGCTTAATTAAGATGGGTCTCAGAATGGATTGTTTTTAATCAAATGACCTTTCATTTTTAAAATTTTGCATTTTCCTTTTACGTAACGCTGCTGGTTTCTTTAAAAATGTGCATCTTCTAAACCGAACCTAGAAGCTATTCGAATTTCACCGTCTTTAGAAACCACTTGGCTCAAAACATTCTTGATGAACTTGATTTTTAGCTTAGTAAATTTGGGTCTCAAAATTAGTGAACAGCGGCCTCAGAAGGAATGCTATGACTCAGCTGCGCTGTCTCTATAAAAAGAATCGCATCAGCGAAACTCAAGTGAGGATCATTTTGCGATTTTGACCACCTTTTGCAGACAACTGAATCTGATAATGCTGAAAGTTGCATACAAATCACCGAAAATCCGTATTTTTGCCAGCTTAATTAAGCTCGGTTTCAAAATCGATGGTTTTTACTCAAATGCGCTCTTATCTTTCAATCCGGCATTTTTAGCAAATACTTGGCTAGGAAGACGATCAAAACTTTATGAGAATTGCGCAGAATCTTTATTGATTCCAGTTTAGCAGATTTTGCTTTTAAGAAAGAAAATTTTACTTTCTTTAGAAAACATTTGGGTCAAAAGGTCTCAAAAGTTTTATAAAAATAATCTGGAAACCTGCCTGAAAATGTTTCACAAAAATCAATTTTGTTCTCAAATGTGTTCCCATCGTTATAAATTTGAACCTCGCTAAACAAGGGGCATTCTGAAAATTTTACTATCTTCAGAAGAGATTTGGCTCGAAAGGTTCTGAAAGGTTTATAGAAAAGCGTTACTTTAAAGACACTAACAGTTTCGCAAAGATCGCCCTGAATCCCGATCTTTGCGGGCTTATTAAATATCGGATAGTTTTTGGCCGAATAAGTGTAAAAAGAAAAAAAGGAACACTCAGAAATATGCAAATTGTCAACTTTCTTGGTTTTTAACAACCAACCAACAACAACTGCAAGAAACTGTAACAAAAAAGTATGCAAAAGAAAATAGAATATGAAGCTTAAAAAGATAAACATCTAGCTATCAAGGAAAACATGGAAATACAGTGAATAAGCCAAAAATTCTTACAAATGAACAACAATCTTGGCCAAGAAGATACACAATGAATTTCTAAAAAATTGATGAACGAAAATAAAAAAAAATGGATTTTAAAGTTTTTTAAAAGCATGGCAATATTTCACAGAAAAAAACAAAATCTTCAATGAAACTCTCCACACAATAATTGAAAATTCCCCGCAAAAGTTACGGTTTGCACATCTTGAGATTCCCATTTAGTCGATTGCAGTTATTTGCAAATTTACTAAATACATAATAGAAAAAAAGCGGAAAATATCATGCCCACAATCTCAACCTACTTTACACGATTCAAACCGAAAAACAATTCGTAATTAAATGCGCATAAAATTTGCAACGATTACTAAATGTTTATCCATTCTATCTTTTAAATCCACTTGCTGCAAGAGAACCTTGCGAATGTTTAGACCGTATAGAACTGTTGAATATTCATAAATTAAGCCTGAGGTTGAGTTGTTTATTACGCCTAAGCAGACACCGATCTATGTATTGATTCTTATTAATCTAGATTCCAGATCAAGGGGGATCTGGGCATGTGGAAATGTTGAAAAGTTTTTTACAGTTTCAAATAGTTCCAAATGGCGCAATCAAAGGTTTTCTGCTATTGAACGTGGATGCGATTAAAAAAGCTCATTTTTCCATGACCAGGCTCAAAGCTTGACCGATTCATTAGCTTTAATAATCTGGAACCCCGTCGAGCACGTATGTAGAAAAAGCAAATATTGTAAAGCCTGAGCAAAGCTGGTTACTAAAGTTTCTCAAAGGTATATAATTAGCGCAGCTTCACTCGATATTTATTACGAAAAATATGTGAATTTCTGCGAAACATTTGCAATCAATGAGTGGATGAAATCGAATTCCTCTCAATTATTGCGTTGGAACTAATGAAGATATTTCCTAATTGAAGCTGTTAGATTTCAAAGCCTCTTTTAATGATTAGGGGTTTGCAAAACTCAACCAACTTTCCCAAGCTAGCAGCATCTGATTGAAAACCCATCAGTTTTGACCGCACATTTTTCACATGAGCAAAGGCCCCAACTTGAACCGAAGAGTACCATAACACCCCATGCTGTCCCGGAAACAAAAACCGTTACATACACCCATCGAAAAGTCTCACCAGAAGAGGGGCCGAGGAAAATTGAAACATACACAAATAAAACAGTCGTACAAACACAACTGTAACAAAAGCATTAAAAAGTGTTGTATGGCGCTGTAGGAAATCGGCAGGGGGTCGCCTGCTACCCCCCATGGGGTAATACGACGGATTTACCAACCCCTAAAGTAGGTTTTAATACTCGGCCGCTTTTGAAAATAATGCGAATTGTATTTTTTTTTCGGCGGGAGGTGATGAAATATACATTCGGTGGGTCGGAGAATGCTTTTGCTGAGAACTGGTGTAAGGCATATTCGTTTTGTTATGTTTGGGGTTTTCAACGGTTGACTGTCTGCTTAAGGAATAGAGATTTCAGGTCATCCTGCCGCGAGATATTAAGATAATCTGCTGATGCCCAAACTGTGACAGCACTCATTATGTGCAAAGAAAATCTTAAAGGTCTGCCAATTGAACAGAATATTTGGGGATTTAAATGCCTTTTAGGGAATCATATCATTGAGTGAGTTGAAAGTAAGAAATCCAGATGAGCCGATGCCATATTGCGAAAGGGAAGAACTGATCTTCAAAAAGATCTTCTACAAGTCACCTGAAAAGGGCTAAAAAATTGCCTTATCAAGAACCGATTTAGAAATGGAATGTAGAGTCGAAAAATCCTCTAGAGTGCTGATGTAAACTACTTCTTGCGAACGTTAAAATAAACCAGGGAAGACCGGATAAAATGACACTGAAAATGAAACTAAAAATTGTGAAAAACTGATAGAAATATAAAAAGTCGGCAGTTCTTTAGGACCGAACTGTTTTTAAACAGGTGACAGATTTTTTAGAAAGAGGGAAAAAATTGCACGGAAGAACACACAAAGAAAAAATGTAGATAGCTATTAATGATTAGGAAAGCTAATGCAAATATCAAGAGCGTGTGGAACGAAACAAAGTCAAAAGTGCTAAGAGCAGCTGGAACATTTGCAGGAAAAAAGACCAATTTTTTCAAATGCCGAGAAAAAAATTCCTGCAAATATCAAAGCCAATTTACGAATTATTAAGGAAGCTAAGAAAGATGTAAACAGTGCTCGGAACGAAATAATTTAAGCAGTGCTGTAGGTGAAAGATTTGCAGGAAGCCGGGAACAAATTTTATAAAAATGCTAAGAAAGAAAAATTCACACAAGTGACAAAACGGATATATTAATTATTGAGGAAGCTAATCAATATAATGATGATTAAGGCAGCTAATCAAATTTTCAAGAGAGCTTGGAGCGAAATAAAGTCAGCAGTTCTAAAACCAGATAAAACTTTTGTAGGAAGAAAAGAACAAATTTTATATAAATGCCATGAAGGAAAAAAATCACAGTTAAAAAACTGTACATATTTATAATTGAGGAAGGTAATGAAGACAGTAACGGTGTTTGAAACGAAATAACGGCAGCGGTACTAAATTCGGATGAATTATTTGCAGAAAGACAGTAAAAAATTCAAGCAAATGACAAAATGACAATGTG